TGAAGCATCCGTTGAAACAAACGTTTGACAGTGCTCATTGAAGATCGCTAACATGGGAGTGGATTCAATCATTGCTCTTATGGTTATGTAAGCATTGTCTTGTTCAGTGTCCCAAATAAGTTCATGATTTTGGCGTAAAGACTCGGCAATAATCGCAAGATGCGGTAAATGTCGAAGATGATAAGAACTCAAACCCTAGTAATGTGTCATCTTGGTAACTTTGCATGGGTTTGGACAGTCGAGAATGGCTCTGATGTTCTGCATATTACGCTTAATACCCGAGATAGAAATAACATGTCTAATCAACTCGACATCCGTTACAGTAAATAGGTATTTATTTTATTCAGGCGGAGATTTAGTTCATTCAGTCTATGCAGCACATTATGAAGATATTCCTGATGTTAAAATTCTAGGACTACTATTTGTGCAACAATCTGTACAAGGGTACAAATGCTGTTGAGGCGTTAGATAAGAAACGGTGACATAGAATAATCATCCCCATAAGCGATCGGAGTTCAGCTTCATTCTTTGGTTCAGGTGCGACAAAGATGGGCTTTAATTTGTCTTCTAACAAGTGTAATCCGCTTTTATCGAGGCTTCTAATCACGTGCACGTCGTTCGGTAAGTGATAGTCAAGAATAAAATTGCAGTGATACAAGTAAATTGACACGCAGATGCCTGAGCTAAAGTGGAGAACTAACGAAGGGTAAATACGAGATTGAATAGAAATATTCGGAAAAATAGGACCTGTAAGTTTTTACTGACAGCATTATCTATATGTACAAAGAAGGCAAAACGAACTATTTTGAAATGTATTCTGCGCGCAAGCATTCTGAATTCACTTAATGTCTTTGGTTTAATAATTCATTAAGCTTAAGATAACCTTACTATAACTTGAGCATTATTAAAATTTCCTCTGGCTTTCGACCCTAGGTGAACACAATGTAAGTTACCGAACTCAAAGAATATGCTCGGCAAGGACACTAAAGACCTGCTGTCGTAGAGATCTGCGAAATATACTTTGCTTACATATGCGTGTATATAAAGTCTTGTACAAAGAATGGTGTACGTATATATAGGCCATACCAAAGGGAACTTGATACCACGAAGTTATAAACAGTTGTAATCGTACGTCTCTCAATAGACAAGTAGAGATGACTTCATTACGAGTGTCATAAGGACTGGTTGACTTAAGTCTTATTTGATACAGTGCTACATGTTATCTTATGCTGTTTATTTGTTAAATGAGAAATTCGCTGATCTCAGCAATAATTCTGCAAAAGTTACATCATCAGTCGACTTGACGTCATCTGTGCTTTAGTGCGTAGTGAAGTGTTGTATCGCAATGGTTAGGTAGGTGGGAAGCCAGTAGTCACACGCACGACTTTTTATAGGTGGAAATTATGTAGCTTTGCTAACTTTCTCATGACTCAGTGGCTTAAACTGCTGGCAATTTGCATCCGCCTCTAGCGGTTTTGGGTTTGATCACCAGTTGGGGACCGGGGAATGCGCACTTACGATGAGACTTGTTAGGGCGAAACACTTTTGGTGCTTTTTGGTGCTTTGAATTAATGCGATGAATACCTTTAATAAAATTACAAGTTAAATGCTTCTACTCACGAGTATTATAAAAGAAATATCTTCTTATATTTTTAAATGCTATGGATATAGCGCCTAGCGAGAAGACGTCATCAAATCGCAGGTTAGCCAATGTCACTGACAGCAGGTCCTGACAGGGCGTGCTATATCTCAGTTAGATTGCAAATTATAAAGCATAGCTACGGTCCCCCATGGCTCAGTGGCTAGTTGGTATCCGCCTCTATTGGTCATGGGTTCGATTCACAGTAGGGACCGGTAGAATTCGCAACGTTGACGAACCCCGATTTGGCTAAACGCGTCTGGTGCTTTTCGGGGCTAGGCTGTGCTATGTAGCTTTGAACCAACAGGATGAATACCTCAAAATTTGAAAATGGCCACTTTGACCATTGCTTCGTGACCACAGTCAGCTTTTGCCCACAGTTGAGAATATTGCCCTTTTCCAATAAGCTTATTCGAAAGCTGCGGTACTCCTATGCAAAAGTGAACATAATAAATACATTTACCGAAAAAGATGTGGCAGTTGAAGGAATTAAATTGAGTAACATATGGAAAATGTAAAGTTAGCCTGCATTTATTGGGAAACCTAATTTCGTTTTAATACAACGTTGATAACTATAGTTACTTATACATAAGAATATACTTGCAATAAAGGTATAAGTATACTATTTTAAGATGATCTTCTGGGCATGCAATTGGTTGGTCAGCAATAAAATAAATGCGACAGGTATTTTAACTGTAAATAATGTTTTCCCTGGTAATCTAATATCCTAAGCTGATTTGTGATCAGGATAAAATGCGAAACATTACATTATCTGACAAAAACAGAAAGAAATTCTTTATATCAAATAACTCGGATTATATGACCTTTAATTCCTGAGCACAAGTAGTTTCGGTACATAACATGTGCTAGCATTTCAGAGCATTAAATTATGCGTTGTAATTTAGCGCTAAAATATTGCATCTGGGTTTAACTTGATTTTCGCAGTACATGGTCACCATCGTTAATTATACACGTTAAGTATACACGGAAAAACCTCAGCTACTGTGTCGCAATACATAGATGAAAAAAGGAGAAACATTTTCAACAGGTGCAAGTCACCAGATTTACCGGTAACGGATGGGCATCGTTCCGGTAATCTACCAGCTGGCAACTATGCAGCAAAAAATTACCATGGAAAGTTATATAAAGCTAATAGTGAGATTCTGGTTGGAGAGCAGGCTAGTCGAGCGGTACAAAGAAACTTACAGCACGAATGCCAATGAGTTCCGCTCCAAGCCATATTAGCAAGTATATCCAACTAAACGTGTTTATCAGGGAGCCCAGAATGTTCAACGGAAGCCAACTTTGAAGTGAGGACCTTCATTTATCTAGGACAATTCACCGGTTGGCCACCCCTCCTCTTCTTCCATCTACATACTCGGCGAGCAAACAACACATGTTTCGGAAGTAGATGGAATAGCACGTGTAAAAAGTGGCCGATCCATCGGAGTCTAGTGCGTGAAACAAAGCTGCTAAGCGGGACATTTCCTTTCCCTGTGCCTTCAACAAGGCGTGGAACACGTTCATTGCTCACTAGGTGTTCCCAACAGATGTGAGCTAAATAGCGAATGCACCAGCGGTCAAACGTAACTAGCCTCTTCAGGTCCGCTGATCAAAAGGGACAGGTTTCACAACCGTGCAGTAGGATGGAAAGGACGCTGCATTGTACACTCTACACTTCAGGGCGAGTGTAACGTCGCGCCAGCGCCATAGGTGGCGAACGTTAGCAAAACCGCCTCGAGCTATTGCTATCCGTTTCATGGTCTCATCTTCAATCCCAAGAACGCTGATACAACATCACAGGTAGTTGGATTTTTGAACGAATTCCAGCTTATCCCCACCAAGGGTCAGATTAGGACGCGGACCGGACCAATCTAGGAGCAACGCTTTAAACTTAGATGGTGCAAAGTCAAAAGTGAAGCACAGCCAATGCTAAGCTGTCCAGTGCTGATTTGCACGTCTGGAAGCTGTCACAGATTAGAGCAATATCATCAGCATATTCTACGTCAAGAACTCGTTCTCCTGGAAGCACCTTCACAAATTCCAAGTCAAGTCTTTTGTACGCGATTTCCATGAATTTTTCTATATCGAAATTGAAGAGGAAAGGTGACAGCGGGCATCCGCGTCTCCCACCGCTAGTGATAATACATGGTGTTGACAGCTTGCCGTAAGTCCTCACTCCGCCTAAGCTACGCCGTGTAATGCTCGGATAATATTTACATATTTCTCAGGTACACCTTTCCTGAGTAGACTTCCCCAAGGTGCAAGTCCACCCACCGAATCGTATGCGTTTTTCCTATCGAGCAACACGACAACCGTTGGCCTCCAATACGTGTGACGGTGCTCCAAAAACTGATGCGAAGTTAAGATGTGATCAATGCGGCCAAGACCACAACGGAACCCTGCTTGCTCTCCACGAATATGGCTTTCACAATTGGCAGTCATCCTGTGAAGGTTTATATAGGCAAGCAACTTCGAGGCGATGGAGATCAGACTGATTGCTCTATGGTTGCCGCATTCCGTTCTTGAACCTCCCTTGAAAATTGGGACTATGACAGGTCGGCTCCGGTCTGTTTGGACAGTTTTCTGCTCCCATATTTTCAATAGTAACTCGTATAAATCATCCACCAGAGTAGGTCCCCCGAATTTGAAGAGGCCTGGAGGAATATCACTTTGTCCCGCGGCTTTATTGAACTTTAACATTCCGATCTCAAGTTCCACTTCTGAGCTAGAGGGTGGATCGAGATTGACAGTCCACAAAGAGGGGCGATCACTGACGGAAGAGAAACCTAACAATTTCGAACGATAAAATTGGCTTACAGGGTTCTCAGCCCATCGCTCCAAAGTTGTTGACAAGTTGTGGATAGGCTGTCCACTCTTATCACGTATAGTTTCATTAATACCAGGTCTCCTACTGCCAATTTCCCGTAACAGCAGGAATAAGTTAAGATGCTTACAAAATGCAGCTGCCATTTCTATCGCTGAAGCACGATGACACCACCAGGATTCGTGGTCTCACTTTAGACTAGCACGGAGCTTTACCCGGAACTATTTACGAGTTCCACTGTGTTCGCTTCCAGTCGGAATATGCTGGCGAACATCGATAAGTTCCAGAGACTGCGAGGACACCCAATGTCCAGGTTGAAGATTAGACGTACCTCATGAGGATTATCTTGCTGTTAGTTATTGCTGGCAATAATGAGACCGGTGAGTTTCAACTTCATCAAGTGCGCGCTTACTCAACTCACATGACAGCGTACATCGATAGGCAATCACAACAGCCGGCTTCGTCAGTTGGCTGGTGTCATTGCGGTCAAAACGTCTTGGGCGTCCGCCAAAGCGCATCCACATACCGGCACATTGTTAAGGTTTCGGCTGACCTACCGATGACCTGCTGCTAGCGTGCACTCTGATTAGCCCGACTTCCCAAAGCAGGAGACCGGCGTACGGCTGGCAAGTCTATTTGCTTAACGTCCAAACTAACGGTACATTCAATTTATGACCAAATCAATAGCCCTAGCGTAAAACGCTCTCATTGGCTGGTTCCGTCCCATCAACACCTTCCCCCGCAAAAGTTGACATAAGACTTCATTTTTGGATCCAACTGCATGCTTACGACAGGTCTCCGTAGTCGATCAGTACAGCGCCGAGTCTGGACCTTCGGTTCCTCTGAGACTTCTGTGCGGGATGCATCCGAATTGCTTTGGGGATTATATAGCATGTCGAAACTCTCTAGTAGAATAGCTAACGGTAGTAACCGAGCGCTTGTGCCCGCAGGGATGCTAGTTGGTCGCAGCTGATTGGAATGCCTGGTCTAAATCAAATTACTCACATTAACCTCATATAGCACTTGTCCAACATTTCTCCGTATCGATCCTACCACCCATTGCGGGTTTCCCGCGCGCTAGTCTCTTACTAAGACACGCTGTCCGGGGTAAAAGCGGCGTGCTTGAGTTCTGTGTCGCTCGTTGTAGTACTGCTCCATCCGTACGTTCCTTTCTTGCTCATTAGTACAAATCGGAGTTAGCAGGGAATTCACAGTACGGAGTTTTCTTCCCATTAGTGCTTCTGCCGGCGACAACTGGTTTGGTACTTGGGGATTTGAAGTTGATCTGTGCGCGAGCAAAAATGTATCAAGTATCTCCTGTGTGGTTCCTTCCCCCCGCATCTTTAGTAGCGATCGCTTAAACGTGTCGACAAAGCGCTCTGCTTGTCCATTTGACTGAGGGTGAAACGGTGGCGACCGTAGATGCGTGATACCATGCTGTGCGCAGTTTTCGGCAAATTGGGAAGAAGTGAACTGAGAACCATTGTCAGTGACCAAGGTTTCTGGTATTCCGTGTTGACTGAAAAGTCTCCTCAAAATGTTAATTGTTGCACCACTTGTCGCACCCTCCATAAAGAAGACCTCAGGCCATTTGCTATAGGAATCAACAACTATTAGGTACTGCTGACCGTTTAGGGGACCAAAGAAATCAGCGTGCACGCGTTCCCACGGTTTTGTTGCCAACGGCCAGGAAGCTAAGTCAGCTTTTCTCGGTGCCTTACTAGCAAGCGCTCATCTGGGACATGACTTTACTAGTTGCTCGAGTTCCGAATCAATGTTTGGCCAGTACACAAAACTCCGAGCAATGCTTTTCTTTCTGTTAATTCCAGGATGTGCCCGATGAAATTGCTGAAGGACACTTTTGCGAAGTTCCTTGGGTATGACAATTCTCTAGGCCAAAAGTAAACACCCATTTACGATCGAAAGTTCGTCCTTTCTCCGAGAGAGAATTTGTAGCTCTCCGGATAGAGTATCACTTGGCCACTGTGTAGTGTGAAATTTGTTTTCCTGGCGCAAGAGAGGATCTCGCACAGTTGCGTCACGTACCATGTCGAACGTCACGGGAAGCATCCTAAAATTCTCCATCAAGACCTGGTTGACCTCTGATTCATGGGAGATTGCTGCAATTATAGATTCTTCCTGCTGATGCTGTTGTAGCTCCAATAACTGGGAAAGTGCGCCTGCTTGACCTATGTCTTTTGTAGCAGAGTACTTCACCGCAAAATCATAGGCGAGTAAGGCCGTGGCCCAACGCTGCAGTCTGTTCGCGGTATAAACGGGTATACCGGACTTTGATCCAAATATGGCTAGGAGTGGTTTATGGTTGGGAAGCAGGGTAAACTTCCTGCCATACAACATTTTGTGAAATTTCTTTATTGCAAAGACTATCGCTAATGACTCTTTCTCTATCTGCCCGTAATTCTTTTCGGCTGGCGACAGTGATCGAGCTGCGTGTGCGATCGCTTTTTCCGATCCGTCAGCAAACTTATGAGATATAACTGCACCCACGTCATACTTCGAAGCGTCTGCCGCCACCACAATTTCAAGTGTAGGGTCGTAATGTGTCAGCATAAAATCAGAACACAGCATTCGCTTTACCTACTCAAAGGACATCTGACAATCTTCGGACCAGTGCCAACGTTTGTCCTTGGTGAGTTACTCATTGAGTGGTCCACGCACGCTGTGCATATGTGGCAGAAATTGACTGTAATGACTGACGAGTCCTAAGAAGGACCTCACAGTAGGCACAACTTTGAAAGGTGGCATCTTTTTTATAGCTTCAATGTTTGACGGATCTGGACGTCTACCGTTCTTGTCAATTATGAAGCCAAGAAAATTAATGGAGTCCATGAAAAACGTGCACTTTTCTGGGCGAAGTCTAAATCCGTACTCCTGTATGCGATCAAGTACTAAGTGCAGCTTTCTGAAAATGGCATCTGGGTTAGCTCCGACGACAATGATATCGTCCAAATATGCGGCAGCACCATCTACATCTGTTAGCATAGTATCCATGATTTGCTGAAAAATTGCTGGCGCGGACTTAACTTCGAATGGAAGTCGATGATACTGATACAAACCTCGGTGCGTATTTATCGTCAGTAATTCTCTAGAAGCTTCATTAAATTCTATTTATAAGTACGCATCCGATAGATCTAGCTTGGCAAAACACTGACCCCCATTTAGTTTCGAGAACAAATCATCTGGGACTGGCAGAGGATACTGATGCTTGTCTAACGCTTCATTCAGCCCAGTCGAAAAAACGGCACACATACGGATCTGGCCGTTCGGCTTCTTGACAACCACCATTGGAGCCGCCCAAGAAGAGTAGTTCACTGCATAGATAACCCCAAGTTTCTCCAAACGATCAAGTTCCTGGTCAACAATTGGGACTGCTGCGTAAGGTACTGGCCGCTTTGCACGGAAAACAGGAACAGCATCGGGTTTTAAGGACAATGAGGCTTGCAACTTTGTACACTTACCAAGTCCTTCACGGAAAACAGGTGCATATTTCTCTCGAATTTGTTCGATTGCCATTGCCTTGGGGACTTCTGGTTTGTGTAAGTGTACACTTGCACAGATTTGATTAATGGGAACATCTAATAGGTTGAATCGCTCAATCCAGTCTAATCCAAGGAAGTTCAAATTCTTCTGTGTTGTGACGAAAATAGTTCCCCAAGCGGTGAAGTTGGCAAAGCGACACTCACATTCAATCTGACCGATCAAGTTTATACTCGTACCTGATGCGCTCTTGGCTTTATGATTAGTTGGTTTAATGTCAGGTGAACCGATTTGAGTCGAGCAACTGTATCATCAAAGCTGAAATCATGCGCGTTGTTTGGCAAAATGTAGTTAATGTATCTGTCATGTTCAACCGTTCCGAGTTTTCGTAACAAAAGGCGAACTTTAGATGCATCATCGAGACCTGACAACTTTGCCATGAAAACAAATTCATAGCGCCTGAACCACGCATCGAATATTAATCCTGAGTCAGGATCGAATATGAACTCATTAACACTACCGATCATCGCATCCGCCGAAGGCTTCCCATTGTTCTGAACGACCGTAGGCTGCACAGATAACATTTGGGTAAGGGTTTCAATCATACGCAGCTGTGCTGTTTCAAATTGCTGCTGTTGCTGCAACAAAATGTTTTTTCAGGTCTTCCGCTGAAATTGACATCTTGATCCCACCTCCGTCGCCAAAAATATATGTTAAGGTTTCAGCTGACCTACCGATGACCTGCTGCTAGCGTGCACTCTGATTAGCCTGACTTCCCAAAGCAGGAGACCGGCGTACGGCTGGCAAGTCTATTTGCTTAACGTCCAAACTAACGGTACATTCAATTTATGACCAAATCAATAGCCCTCAGCGTAAAACGCTCTCATTGGCTGGTTCCATCCCATTACACATGCAAGTGCCTGGTCGGTTTTTGCAAATGTGCTCCAAATCGAGCGACAGTTCTGGATGCAACCTCTCTATCGGTGACTTATTTTAAGGTGATGGATCTGCTTCCATAGCTGGTTCGAGGCTGGTGGTCGACAAGTCACCCTCCAGCGGGTACTGTGTTAGAAATTCGTGCTCGCAGCAACAAGCGAGCATATTCCCACAAAAGAATTAACCGCTCAAAGTTATCACTACGGGTGCCTATAACGTGCTGGCCGCCCAGATGCAGTTCGTTAGTGGACAAGTTTCCAACTTTAGCGTGCAGATCCCCATCCAGCACGAAAATGTCCGAGCTTTTCTGTGGCGAAGGAGTTCGTTCAGTTGACGATAGCAATGGTGTTTTACCGAGTCATCGCTAGAGACTTTGGGTGCATAGGCAGCGCGAACGACTAGTTACGTGTTACTCCGGTGCAGATTCGGATATTTGAACGAGCCAGCTAATCGGACCGCGCACATTCGGCTACTGATTGGAGTCCAATCAAGCAGAGTAGGTTCATCCCGGGGACGCAGGGAAATTCCAACACCACCTTGGCCGGTACTCGAAGCTGTTGCCTCAACACATAGTCGCAATGAGAATGTGCTTCTAGTATCACATGAAGGGGATCGTAGAGTTAGCACCGAGCTCAAGTTTTGCAGGCGGGTCTCCGATAGGCAGCATATATCGATCGAGTGGATCTCTAACGTGCGGGCAACTACTGCCAGTTGACCGATCTGAAGCAATATGCGCATGTTGAGGCATGTCTATCTAAAAAAGGATCGATGAATAAAAATGGAAGCGGATGAACTGGAGATGACGGCTTTGTTGGACATGATCATGTTGTCATGCAAGACTGAAGCTCCGCGCAATACTTTGTACTAGGTTACTTAAATATTCCATACGTCTGGCAGGAAATTACTAGCAATTTCTCCATCCATCTAGTTTTCGGTTACACCTGCCTTCACCGCAAAGCTGCAGGCCAAGGCATATTTGTTAATTTCCTAAGGTCAGTATTGGTTATACGGATTCAACGGTGAATAACTTTGTTCATGGTGGTTTTGTGAGTAGTGTAAAATTTGGAAGCAAGTAGAAACCATTATTAAAATTTGCACAATATTCTGCCTCGGTTCCGCGTCGAGGCATATTATTGTGCACATTTTAATCAGCTTTTACTTTCTACAAGAATAAATTAGTGTTATAACTGGGGTAACGCAGGAGAGGACGAATTTAATCTGTCCATAATAGCTAGAATTTTAAAACATGTGTCAAATCTTCTAAACATAGCTAATGTAAATGTGCGGATTAAACATTTCGTATGTGTACACCCGGTAGACTAGTCATATAAGGAAAACAATCGTGATTGATTTAGTTTTGTGGTCACAAGACTGAATAGTGAGGTTTGACTAGTGATCTCTTGTTATTGTACGTATGCAGATAATAGCATCCTGTGCTCAGTGCAATGACGTATCTAGCCATCGATTCAACAAACATTTGGGAACATACGTGGGAACCGTTGGTGTAAGTGGTCTTTGAAACCAGCCTCTTTGTTTTAGAAATCCATTCTGTTACTTTTGTGATTTGTTACATTTATCAACAGAAGTCAAATCTGATTTCTAGCATGTTGACGGTAACATATGTGACTGACGCTTTAGGTTCACCATTCCTAGATATTCCGGGGAAAATTGTAAAGGAAAGTTCTAAACTTGAGACCACTTTTCATAGCAATTTTGTTCTGATATCGGAATCCGCAGGCGATCTTAAGCCAGGTACCAAAATTAATGCTCTGAATTGCTCCTCTGACATTACTTATGTTGGAAACATTCACATTACATTTGTAAGTAGAAGGGGGATTTATTAGGTTTTGTGTAGGTTCGTCGCAGATAGACACAGATGGTCAGTTACCATACATCCAGGAAGGCGCTAGGCGGCCGGATCGTCCTATTGGGACTTGTCAGTAGCGCGCAACCGCCGAATTTTACCGGATTCGAACCAACGAACATGCTCCTCCGAGTCAACGATATATGTCACTGTGATATGAGCGACAGTAGAAAACCATCAAGACCGATATATATATATATATATGTATATAACTGCGATATAGCGCGGCTCATCCTCCACCGTCTTGCATGTTATGAATGTGCAGAGGACAGGGCTGGCCCTCAGAGCAAGGACTTAGTTTGCAAGCCGCCACTAATCAAGGTGGCTTATTAGCTGCTACGGCGGCTATTGATTTTTGTAAGTAGCAGGGGAATTTGTTAAGTTTTGTGTAGGTTCGTCTGCCTATAACTAACTGCGACGAAGTTACACAAAAAGCTAGTAATCCTCCTACTGCTTACAAATAATCAGTGGTCGAGTTAGCAGCTT